TTTTTGTTCTTGTTTCATCTGCTTTACACCCAGTTCTTTCTTTTATGTTTGTAAAACTGCTATAATTCTAATATACATACATACATACATCAATGAATTTATCTCAGCAAAGCAACATTTACCCAAAGTGCACTACAGAAGGCCTGTTGGTCCCCACTTTCAGCAAGACATGACAAAAAGAAAACTGACAGGCAGGGTAATACAAAAAACAAAAAAACACGAATATTCATCATTGATTCATTCAATATAAATTTTATATATAATGTACACACAGTCATACCCTGCTCTACGTCATTAATTACCTGGAGTTTACCTGGAGAGAGTTCGGGGGTCAACGCCCCCCCGGCCCGGTCTGTGACCAGGCCTCCTGGTGGATCAGAGCCTGATCAACCAGGCTGTTACTGCTGGCTGCACGCAAACCAACGTACGCGTCACAGCCCGGCTGGTCACGAACTGACTTTAGGTGCTTGTCCAGTGCCAGCTTGAAGACTGCAGGGGTCTGTTGGTAATCCCCCTTATGTATGCTGGGAGGCAAGATCTGTGACATAACCCAGTTTTTGATGTAAACTGGACATAATACCTTAAAATGATGACAAGCACTGTTAAGCTAGCATAAATAACGAGCAAAAGAATATAACTGTTGCTAAAAATTAAAGAACACTAAAAACATATTTTAATCATTCTTTTTAAAGAATAATGAACACAAAAATGTAGGTGATGCCGAGTGACAAAGTCAGATGTACTGTAATGGCGTTCGCTAAACTGAAATTTACTCTAGAAAAGTGGCGTGAAGGTGAATTTGACATAGGCTAAAATGATGTAAAGCAGGGTATGACTTCATGTATATATTATATATACATATATACATATTTGTTTATTTATTTTAACGATCCGGCCATCTTCCATTGAGACAAGGTGACCTATAATAAATTTTTTTTCATTTTACATTTAGTAATTTATACATAAGGGGTTTCTAGCCCCTTGCTCCAGACATTTTAGTCACCTCTTACGACGTGCATGGCTTATGGAGGAAAGATTCTTTTCTACTTCCCCATAAAGAATGTGCGTGTGTATGTATGTGTGTGTGTGTGTGTGTGTGTGTGTGTGTAATATGTGTGTATTATTGTGTGTATATATGTGTGTTATATATGTGTGATATATATGTGTGTATATATATATATATATATATATATATATATATATATATATATATATATATAGGGAGGTACCACCTCTAGAACATACATACATACATACATACATACAGTGGACCCTCAGTTATCAGCCATAATCCATTCCAGAAGGTCGGCCTAAGTCCGAAAAGGTCAAAAACCAAAATAACATTTCCCATAAGAATTAATGTATATCCAATTAATCTGTTTTGGACACCCAAAAATATTAACAAAAAATAAATTTTTTAAAGATTAACTATAGTTTTACATACAGAAAACAATGAGAAATTAAAGCACAAATTTTAATGATAAATGAACATTAAATACCTTTATTGAAGACTCTTGTTGGTGTACTGAAGAAGGCAGGAGGGGAGAGGGAGTTGGAAATCCCCAACTCCCTCTCCCGTCTGTGTAGTGTAGCCCCCTCTGGGCTACACTACACAGCCATATTATTACACTACACAGCCATATTATTACCATGTTCACTGAGTTTAATTGTTTCTAACAACTACCTTGAGATGCCATTATAAACAGAGGAAGAAGTAATGAATAATTCATGCCGAGAATTGTTAACAAATGCATATGAAGGGTGGTTACTGGGCGAGACGCCAGATTCACAGTTTTCTCTAATGCTGAATCAGAGAAAACGTAATGTTTACTATCCACTCGATAACATACAAACATTGCATGTTGATATGCTGTATGCTATGTAACGTGTTTCTTGTATAATTTTGAAGAAAATATCATAGATGAAACCATACCACGGGCAGGGATAGAACCCGCGATCAGAGAGTCTCAAAACTTCAGACCATCGCATTAGCCATTGGACCAGATGGTTTAATGAAAATGTCTATACATATTAACCTAAAATACGACAATGTGCCCAAGAGTGATTATTATTAAACATACATCGCATATAAACATTACATGTTTTTATATACTATGTAATGTGTTTCTCATATAATTTTGAAGAAAATGTCATAGATGGATTAATGAAAATGTCTATGGTAACCAAAAATAAGACATTTAATGTGCTCAAGAGTGATTTATTATGTGTCCAATATGGCTGCTCTCTTGAAATAACGGCCGATAACTGGGATAGAATTTCAGCCAAAAAAGTGGGCAAAAACCAAATTGGCCGATATTCGGAACAGCCGATAACTAAGGGTCCACTCTGTATGTATACACATACAGTGGACCCTTGGTTTTCGCGAGTCTCGGTTTTCGTGAATTTTGGTTATCGGCAACTTTTTTCATCAAAATATCTAGCCTTGGTTTTCATGATTTCCCTTGGATTTCGGCAGTCGTATGGAAAGTGTCCCAGTGGCACTGCACACACAAAGCCTCCCACAGGTGCATTCAGAGTCGGTGTGGCACTGTTTCTCGGCGAGTGAACATTACCCTGTGAGATAATACGAAACATTTCATAATAATACATTGGTTTTTGCACTTGTTTATTGTGTGTGACTGCTAAATAAGCCACCATGGGCTCAAAGAAAGCTGCTAGTGCCAGCCCTTTGATAAAGAAGGCGAGAAAGATGATAGAATTCAAGAAAGAACACACCAGCCAGGGTACTTCCCCACACCAGCCAGGGTACTTCCCCACACACACTAGCCAGGGTACTTCCCCACACACTAACCAGGGTACTTCCCCACACACTAACCAGGGTACTTCCCCACACACTAACCAGGGTACTTCCCCACACACACCCGACAACCCTATTCCTGTTGTGGAATCTATTGTAACTTTGGGGAAATCTATGTGGTTGGCTGTGAGTGGCCAGGATGTGGAAGAGTTGATGGACGACCTCAGTGAAGAGCTGCAAGACTTTCATCTGGAACAGCAACAGACCACAGCTGAGGAAATTGCTTCAGAGGAGGAGTAGGAAGAGATAGGGAAGAAGGTGCCCTCTTCAGAAATTAAGGACATTTGTGCAAAGTGGAATGAGTTGCAAAGTTTTGTGGAGAAAAATCACCCTAACAAAGCTGTTACAAGCCATGTCTGCAACATATTCAATGACAATCCCTTGTCAAGCTGGGACTAGTGCCAGTAAAACACAAAGAAGGAGTGTATATATGTGGTAGAATTACTGACAATATGTAAAGTAAAAGGACACAAGTGCAAATAATGTGACATTTTATTGTGGCAACATTTTGCTCACCAGGAGCTTGACAAAGCTCTTGGAGAGCAAAACGTTGCCACAATAAAATGTCACATTAGTTGCACATGTGTCCTTTTACTTTACATGAAAAGAAGGGAAGTAACCCCAGATAGGACCTTGATACCTGAAGCCCTTATGGAAAGGAATTCCCCTTCCAAACAATAACCTTTCCTCACTCTCCCCTCCTCTCTGTCTTCCATACGCCAACAAGTCTTCAGTAAAAGTAAAAGTGATGTTAAATGTTCATTTATCCATTTCATTAGTCATTTATATTTATTTCTCATTGTTTTCTGTATGCAAAACTATAGTTATTCTCGATAAAATGTATTTTCTGTTAATATTTTTGGGTGTCGGGAATGGATTAATTGGTTTAACATTATTTCTTATGGGAAATATTACTTCAGTTTTCGTACAATTTGGTTTTTGTCAGACTTTCTGAAACGAATTAATCACGAAAACTGAGGTTCCACTGTATAAATAAATAATATATATCATATTTATATATATATATTATAATATAGAATATATATATTCGTGACCGATAGCGAACTTGCGATCTTGGCTAAATGAATCGCCATCTTGCCATATAAACAAGTATACTTTTAGCAATAATTTCGCCAAATCATTCTGAATCTAACAAACAAAATATATTTCACTGTATTATTTAGTATTAAATTATTTAAACAAATCAAGATATATTTAGTTGGGTTACTAATAATTGTTCTGTTATAATAATTATAAGTTTCAATTCGTTTTGGTAGCAAATTAAAAATTTATTACTATAAAAATGTATTTTAAACATAAAGTAAATTTTAGAATGTTAATTTAAATGGTTCTTGTAATACATTATTCATATCGGAGAATATATATTATATATTCTAAATAATTATTTTTTCAATATATAATATATATTAATAAATATATATATATATAATATAAATAATATATATATATATTATAATATATATATAATATAATATAATATAATATATATATATATAATATATATAAAATATATATATATATATATATATATATATATTATATATATATATATATATATATATTATATATATATATAATATATATAAAATAATGTATATAAGATATATTTATCATATCATAATATTTAGTATATACTGACTGAATATTATTATATAATATATATGTAATATATTAGTATATTAGATATAAATATAATATATATAATATTAATATATATATTACATTAATATAGCAACTATAATGAGTATATATATATATATATATATATTATATTATATTATATATATATATATATATATATATATATATATATATATATATATATATATATATATATATATATATATATATATATATATATATATATATATATATATATAATTATTACACACACACACAATGAAATATTGTAATAAACCAAGTGTTTGGAATACTGTATTACATATATTTCACTGTGGTTATATTGCATTTTAAGATATCACCTGTTTCCTGCAGTCTTATTGCATTATATAAAACCTGATGCTGTGCACTATGAATCACTTAAAAATATTTTAACTTGAAAATCTTTTTTTTGTATCTATATATACACTAATTGTACCTTGAATCAATGCACTTGTTATACATATGAATATTGGTGTCAGCCCTCACTCTGTCCCACCAGGATCAACACACTTGAGGGCATTGGAGGCCCTGGCAAACTAGATCTGATGATTCAAAATCTTCGTGAGCAAGATACAGGAATTTACAACTGTACTGCCACTTACGCTGGTAATCAGAAACTCTCGGCTGGCCTGGCCGTAGAAGCATATAGTAAGTTTGAATAAAAATTTTTCTTTGTCTAAGAGAGTGAGATGTAATTGAAATTCAGATATTTTTAACAACTTTATTATACAGGTATTCAACTCAAGTGTGAATGTTAATTTTTTTTAATATATATAAAGTACCTGGTAGCTATGTTTGTCAGTGATAAATACTATTGAAATATGGTGTAAACTGTCATACATATATTACTGTATTGTTTTGTCTTACAGTGGACATTCATTTTGGAGATACGCCTGTGCACCAAACACCGTTTATTAACACAGAATACAAGATTCGGTGCACTCCAGTTGCCAAGCCTGCCCCACAGGTTGATTGGCTGAAGGACCTTGTACCATTAAAAAATAGTATGTGAAAAATTTCTGCTGCTTAGTGTGATCCTAAGGAATTGAAATCTGAGGTTACACTTATTATAATGTTCTCAGCTTTTTTGCAATTATCATGATGTGTTTCATTGTCTCAATTCTTTGCACAGTAAAGAATCTTAGTGATTTCTTCTAGCTTGTCATTTAGTTCATAGTAGTTATATATACTGTATAGTGTCTTTAATATCATTTATATACCATGGGACACATTTTTTTTCTTTGGTGTAAACTTGTTCATATTAATTCTGTTCTAGTACTGTATATCAAATGATATACAAGTCTGATTTTTTCAATGATTTAATCATGTTGCAAATACAGTGGAACCTCGGTATACGACCAGCTCTCTACTCGAACAAAGCTTAGCACTCGACCAAACAAATGTGACCTGCCAGAATTTTGCTGTAAACTGTTTCGTGTTCGCTTTTTTTTTTTTTTTTTTTTTGTATAAATAAGTCACCCTGGGGCCTATGACAATTAGTGATAACAGCCGACCAAACAGAAAATTGGTTGGGAAGAACTTGCTCGATTATCAAACTGAGAGGCACTCGAACAGCCTTCTGGAATGAATTAAGGTCGCATACCGAGGTTCCACTGTATTGTATATGCTACTGGACTTTATTTATAGTTCAATTTATTTTTTTTATTTAGATCATGAGTTCATACTTATTATTACTGTGATAAAAAAAATTTATCATTTGAGATTTATATTGGCTACTTGTATGTACAATTAAACTGAAGGGTTAGTTACAGGTTGAGATTTATATTACTGAATTCACAGTCTATTTAGATGCATTTTTCCAATTGCAGATGAAAATTATATCATCCAGCAGGATGGTGTATTGATAAAGAGAGTCACAGAAGCAGATGAAGGTATATACCGTTGTCGTGCTCGTGTGCCTGAACTAGGCTCCATTGAATATAGAGACATTCAGGTGGAAGTGTTCATACCCCCAAGAATTGAAAATCCCCCGAAGGACACAAAAGGGGTTGAAAAAGATTCTGTTACCTTCCATTGTGGAGCCATAGGAAAGCCAGCGCCATCATATTCTTGGGTTAACAAGGATAATGAACCACTAAAGGAGAAAGAGGATTATTTTATTGATAGTGACAAGGGTATTCTGACAATCATGGCCCTACGACCCGAGCATTCTGGTGTCTACCGGTGCACAGCAAAGAACCCTGCTGGAGAAGATCACGCATCAGCTCAACTGCAGGTTCTCACCAAACCAAAAGTGGAACAGTATTTAAATATTACTAATGCTGTTGATGATGAGGCAGAGATGAGGTGTATTGCTACTGGTGACCCTCTCCCAGAAATTGTCTTTCGGAAAGAGACGAATAATCATCCTTTTCAGAATGGAATAAATGAAGATGACAGAATTGAGGTGCAGCAAACGACTGATGATCAGGGTCGTCGTGTTGGCATGTAAGTCAAAACATCACTGATCTTAGTACAAATAATTTAGCTTTCAGTGTACTGTACAGTACATAGTGCAGTATTGTTTTAAATAAATTTTTATTTCACTTTCATACACCAAATACTGTAAATACATTTTTCTTGCACATTATTTATTTATTTTATGTCTTTGCAAACAGTACATTGAGATTTTGTATTTACAATAGTGGGTTGCAATGCAAAGGGAGCCTCTCTTATGCTTAGGCATTATGGGCCAACTTAACATTGTTGGCTTACAGACTACTTAACACTGAGGATTATATCATAGTTGTACAGTAGGATAGTAATTATTTCATAGTTGTACAGTAGATTATTAACTATAAATGAATCAAAATTTGTATAAGACAAAAGATTTTTTTTTTTCTTTTTGTAAACAATGATTCCACTGATGCAGTGACCCAAAAAAGATAAAATCCCCAAAAGAATGTTTTCAATTATATTCACTACATGACTATATTATCACGTATTTAGCGAGGTCTAGATAATTAAGTGCTGAGAAGATAACTATAAAGATACAAACATATCCTCTCGAAACTGAATTCCAATTTGCGCCCTTTATGTGCATAGCAGTTTTCCCATTTATGGACACTAAGTATTCACAATGAAGAAACTGTCCTGTCCTTGCTAATATTGCCTGTTTAGCTTGGGAGAGAAGTTGGTGGAGGTTTATATTTGGTGTATTTTCTGTGTATGTAGTAGGCACATGAATAAGTATGGATGTTCTTAATGGTGATCAGATTCAGACTTGAAAATTGGTGGAGTATGCTGGCGGGAGTGGGAATTTGTTATCATTCTTATTGCTGCCTTTTGCTGGGTTATTAGGGGTTTTAGGTGATTAGATGTTGTTGAGCCGAATGCACAAATTCTATATGTAAGATAAGGGTATATGAGTGAATGGTAGAGTGCCAGGAGAGCTGATTGTGGAACGTAGTACCTTATCTTTGGTAGTATGCCTACTTTCTTGGTGATTTGTTGTATGTGTGTCCGGAACTTAAGGCTACTGTCATGGTGGATACCTAGGAATTTTCCCTCTGAGTCTTGTGACTGACGAGCCATTTAGTGTTATGCTAATTGGATCATTTGTAGCTTTGTTTCCAAACTGAATGATATAGGTTTTATCAGTGTTCAGGGTAAATTTGTTAGTCATCATCCAGGCAGATATTTTCTGTAATTCGGCATTGACTATGTTTGCTAGTATGACTGTTTGGGTGGGAAAAGACATATGTAGTGTCATCTGCAAATAATATGGGTTTGAGTAACTGTGATGCATTCGGTAGATCATTGATGTAGATGTGAAAGAGGAGTGGTCCAAGGACACTTCCTTGTGGGACTCCTACTGTGATTGGTTGGGTGGAAGAGTTTGCATCATTTGCATACACATATTGAGTTCTGTTACTGAGATATGATTTTAGGTAGTTGAGAGAGTGGCCTCTGATACCATAGTGCGTTAATTTGGAGTACAGCAGTTCATGGTCGACTGTATCAAAAGCTTTACGTAATTCAATGAAAATGCCCAGCGGGACTTCTTTCTTTTCAAGTGCGGTATATATTAGTTCTAGCATGTGTATGATAGCATAATTTGTGCTTTTATTATTCCTGAATCCAAACTGACAAGGGTTTAATATGTAGTGTGAGACGAGGTAGGAATAGATCTGTCTATGAATTAATTTTTCAAAGGGTTTTAGAGAGCAGTGGTAAGTTAGATATTGGTCTATAGTTATTCAAGTCAGCTTGGTCACCTCCTTTATGGATCGGGGTGACCCTCGCTATTTTGAGGATTGTTGGGAAGGTAGATGATTCAATGGATTTGTTAAAGAGCGTTGCAATAATTAGTGACAATACTTGAGGAGCTTTTTTGTACATAAAAGCAGGCAAGTTGTTTATGTCTCCTGCCATGTTTCTAAGGGGTTTATGATGAGCGTAACTTCTATGGGGTTGGTTGGAGCTAGGAATAGTGTATTTGGGTAGGTACCTATGAGGTAGTCTGATGGATGGGTGTTTGCACTTGGTATTTTGTTCGCTAGATTTTTTCCTGTGGTGAAGAAAACATTGAGTCTGTTTACTGTTTCAGCTGGAGTGAGTAGGGGTTCATCTGATTTTGTTTTTGTTTTTGGATAACTTTTTAGTTCCAAGAATTTCAGATAGAGTTTTCCAGTTTTTTTTCATATCACCCTTGAGTTTGTAATTATTTTCTAATACAATTTTTTAGACCCTTTTTTATCAGGGTGGAAGTGTGACGGTAAAAATTTGACTGTTCTTAGTTTTTGACCCTTTTTATACTGTTTTTCATATTTGTGCTTTTTTGTTTTTTGGGTTTTTAGGATGTTGGTGTTAGCCGGGATTATTCAGTCTTTTGCGTGATCTGTTTAGTTTTTTTGGGGGGAAAATGTTTGTTTAGGGGTTTTGGGCTTTTTTTTTTAAAAAATTATTTATACTCTTTATATCTGAAGGGTTTAAAGTCATTTTCCCAAATGATGTTTTTTTTTTTTTTTTTTCACACTGGCGTTTCCCCACCAAGGGCGGGTGGCCCGAAAAAAGAAAAAATTTTTCCCCATTCATCCATCACTGTCTTGCCAGAAGGGGCTTAACTCAGTTTTTAAACTGAAACATTAACACCCCCCCTTCAGAGTGCAGGCACTGTACTTCCCATCTCCAGGACTCAAGTCCGGCCTGCCGGTTTCCCTGAACCCCTTCATAAATGTTACTTTGCTCACACTCCAACAGCACATCAAGTATTAAAAACCATTTGTCTCCATTCACTCCTATCAAACACGCTCACGCATGCCTGCTGGAAGTCCAAGCCCCTCACACACAAAACCTCCTTTACCCCCTCCCTCCAACCTTTCCTAGGCCGACCCCTACCCCGCCTTCCTTCCACTACAGACTGATACACTCTTGAAGTTATTCTGTTTCGCTCCATTCTCTCCACATGTCCGAACCACCTCAACAACCCTTCCTCAGCCCTCTGGACAACATTTTGGTAATCCCGCACCTCCTCCTAACTTCCAAACTACGAATTCTCTGCATTATATTCACACCACACATTGCTCTCAGACATGACATCTCCACTGCCTCCAGCCTTCTCCTCGCTGCAACATTCATCACCCATGCTTCACACCCATATAAGAGCGTTGGTAAAACTATACTCTCATACATTCCCCTCTTTGCCTCCAAGGACAAAGTTCTTTGTCTCCAGAGACTCCTAAGTGCACCACTCACCCTTTTCCCCTCATCAATTCTATGATTCACCTCATCTTTCATAGACCCATCCACTGACACGTCCACTCCCAATATCTGAATACATTCACCTCCTCCATACTCTCTCCCTCCAATCTGATATCCAATCTTTCATCACCTAATCTTTTTGTTATCCTCATAACTTTACTCTTTCCTGTATTCACTTTCAATTTTCTTATTTTGCACACCCTACCAAATTCATCCACCAATCTCTGCAACTTCTCTTCAGAATCTCCCAAGAGCACAGTGTCATCAGCAAAGAGCAACTGTGACAACTCCCACTTTATGTGTGATTCTTTATCTTTTAACTCCACGCCTCTTGCCAAGACCCTCGCATTTACTTCTTTTACAACCCCATCTATAAATATATTAAACAACCACGGTGACATCACGCATCCTTGTCTAAGGCCTACTTTTACTGGGAAATAATTTCCCTCTTTCCTACATACTCTAACTTGAGCCTCACTATCCTCGTAAAAACTCTTCACTGCTTTCAGTAACCTACCTCCTACACCATACACCTGCAACATCTGCCACATTGCCCCCCTATCCACCCTGTCATATGCCTTTTCCAAATCCATAAATGCCACAAAGACCTCTTTAGCCTTATCTAAATACTGTTCACTTATATGTTTCACTGTAAACACCTGGTCCACACACCCCCTACCTTTCCTAAAGCCTCCTTGTTCATCTGCTATCCTATTCTCCGTCTTACTCTTAATTCTTTCAATAATAACTCTACCATACACTTTTCCAGGTATACTCAACAGACTTATCCCCCTATAATTTTTGCACTCTCTTTTATCCCCTTTGCCTTTATACAAAGGAACTATGCATGCTCTCTGCCAGTCCCTAGGTACCTTACCCTCTTCCATACATTTATTAAATAATTGCACCAAACCACTCCAAAACTATATCCCCACCTGCTTTTAACATTTCTATCTTTATCCCATCAATCCCGGCTGCCTTACCCCCTTTCATTTTACCTACTGCCTCACGAACTTCCCCCACACTCACAACTGGCTCTTCCTCACTCCTACAAGATGTTATTCCTCCTTGTCCTATACACGAAATCACAGCTTCCCTATCTTCATCAACATTTAACAATTCCTCAAAATATTCCCTCCATCTTCCCAATACCTCTAACTCTCCATTTAATAACTCTCCTCTCCTATTTTTAACTGACAAATCCATTTCTCTAGGCTTTCTTAACTTGTTAATCTCACTCCAAAACTTTTTCTTATTTTCAACAAAATTTGTTGATAACATCTCACCCACTCTCTCATTTGCTCTCTTTTTACATTGCTTCACCACTCTCTTAACCTCTCTCTTTTTCTCCATATACTCTTCCCTCCTTGCATCACTTCTACTTTGTAAAAACTTCTCATATGCTAACTTTTTCTCCCTTACTACTCTCTTTACATCATCATTCCACCAATCGCTCCTCTTCCCTCCCGCACCCACTTTCCTGTAACCACAAACTTCTGCTGAACACACTAACACTACATTTTTAAACCTACCCCATACCTCTTCGACCCCATTGCCTATGCTCTCATTAGCCCATCTATCCTCCAATAGCTGTTTATATCTTACCCTAACTGCCTCCTCTTTTAGTTTATAAACCTTCACCTCTCTCTTCCCTGATGCTTCTATTCTCCTTGTATCCCATCTACCTTTTACTCTCAGTGTAGCTACAACTAGAAAGTGATCTGATATATCTGTGGCCCCTCTAT